TCTGTCATTGACAGGCATTTAGGTTGATTTCGTCTCTTTGCTATTGTGAATAATGCTGCAATGAACATTTGCATGCATGTCTTTATGGTAGGAAGATTTATATTCCTCTGGGTATATACCCAGTAATGGGATTGCTGGGTCAAATGGGAGTTCTGCTTTTAACTGTTTGATGAATCTCCATACTGTTTTCCACAATGGTTGAACTAATATACTTCTCACCTACAGGGTATGAGTGTTTCCTTTTCTCCGCAACCTTACCAGCATCTGGTATTTTTTGACTTTTTAGTAATAGCCATTCTGACTGGTATGAGACAGCATCTCATTGTGGTTTTGATTTGCATTTCTCTAATGATCAGTGATACTGAGCTTTATTCATATGCTTGTTGGCCACATGTATGTCTTCTTTTGAGAAATGTCTGTTCATGTTCTTTGCCCACTTTTTAATGGGCAAAGAACTTGTAAATTTGTTGAAGTTCCTTATAGGTGCTGTATATTAGACATTTGTCAGATGCATAGTTTGCAAATATTTTCTCCTATTCTGTCGGCCCTTTACTCTGTTGATAGTTTCTTTTGCTGTGCAGAAGCTCTTTTAGTTAGATCTCTTTTGTCAATTTTTGCTTTTGTTGTGATTGCTTTCGGTTTCTTTGTCCTGAAATCTTTGTCCATTTCTATGTCCAGGATGGTATTGCCTAGGTTGTCTTCCAAGGTTTTTATAGTTTTGAGTTTTACATTTAAGTCTTTAGTCCATCTTGAGTTGATTTTTGTGTACAGTATAAAGAAGGGGCTGAGCTTCTGCATATGACTAGCTGGTTTTCCTAGCACCAATTATTGAATTGGGAGTCTTTTCCCCATTGTTTGTTTTTGTCAGCTTTGTCAAAGATCAGATGGTGGTCGATGTGCCACCTTATTTCTGGGCTATTTTGTTCCATGGGTCTATGTTCCTGTTTTTGTACCACTATCATGCTATTTTGTTTACTCTAGCCTTGTAGTACACTTTGAAGTTGGGTAATTTGATGCTGCCTGCTTTGTTCTTTTTGCTTAGGATTGCATTGGCTATTCAGGCTCTTTTTTGGTTCCATATGACTTTTAAAATAGTTTTTTCTAGTTCCGTGAAGAATGCCCTTGGTACTTGGATAAGAATCGCATTGAATCTCTAAATTGCCTTAGACAGTATAGTTATTTAAATAATATTGATTCTTTCTATTCATGAGCATGGGATGTTTCTCCATTTGTTTGTGTTGTCTTCTCTGATTTCTTTGAGCAGTGTTTTGTAATTCTCATTGTAGAGATCTTTCACCTCCCTGGTTAGCTATATTCCTAGGTATTTTATTATTTTTGTGGCAGTTTTGAATGGGATTGCCTTTCTGATTTGGCTCTTTGCTTGGCTGTTGTTGGTGTATAGCAATGCTAGTGATTTTTGTACATTGATTGTTGTATCCTGCAAAATTTGTATCCTTTGCCGAAGTTATCAGCTGGAAGAGGTTTTGGGCTGAGACTATGGGTTTTTCTGTATACAGAATTATGTTGTCTGCAAACAGAGATAGTTTGACTTTCTCTCGTCCTATTTGGATGCCCTTTATATCTTCCTCTTGCCTGATTGCTGTGGCTGGGACTTCTAATACTATGTTGAATAGAAGTGGTCAGAGAATGCATCCTTGTCTTGTGCTGGTTTTCAAGGGAAATGCTTCGAGCTTTTGCCCATTCAGTATAATGTTGGCTGTGGGTTTGTCATAGATGACTTGTATTATTTTGATGCATGTTCCTTCAATACCTAGTTTACTGACTGTTTTTAACATGAAGGATTGTTGAATTTTGTTGAAAGCCTTTTCTGCTCTACTAATTATGTAATTTTTGTTTTTAGTTCTGTTTATGTGATGAATCACATTTATTGATTTGCAAATGTTGAACAAACGTTGCATCCTGGGGATGATGCTTACTTGATCATGGTTAATTAGCTTTTTGATGTGCTGATTGATTTGGTTTGGAGGTATTTTGTTGAGGATTTTTTTTTTTTTTTTTTAATTTTTTTTGGAGAC